AGCATTTAAATACACATGGTAGATGTCATTTTATCTTGTATAATCACAGCAAATTTTCCACAGAGATAATAAGTAGTTTTCAGTACATTGCAAGTGAAATTTATTTCAGCATGAAAATTATAATTCTTCATGTATATGATCACCTTTGTTTTACAAGACCCATGCAAGTAGTGTGATCCAAGTAATGAAAACATATTGGCAATGATTACATATTCTTTTGTGCTTGTGAGACAGGTATATGTTGATTGGAGAACGCTATGAGATCCATCTTGGTTGCAAGCACAGACGCTCACTGGATGTAACCACTTCTATTTACGGACATTCAAAAGGATGCCTTAAAGCACATAAGAGTCCTGTGACTTCCTGTCAATTCTTAGCCTTGACTTCCTGTTTGATTAAAGTGCTCTCTTTGCTTATGCAAAAACAATTACAAAGAAGCACGAGGGCCAGCCAGCTGATCCCTTCTAGGCTCAGTCAAAAGCCAGGGTAAAGATGACATGGTCCTTTCTGCACTGGTGGTAGATTCAAGGCTTTCTGGGCACTAACTCCTTATGAATGGGGAATCTCTATAAGCTGATATTAAATATGCAATCTTGATCAAAGTTTTCAGTAAAAGTAATTATTGCAATTCTCCCATTATTTTTAAAGACATAGTCAAGGATGGACTAGTGGGAAATGTGATACAGAAGGCCTTTCAACTGAATTCAAGTGCTTCCAGCATATAAAATGTATGCTGGAATTTAGTATTATCATATATATCTCCCTGCCCTTTTGAGTGGAAGCTATGATATTTTTGTTAAATGAATGAGTGTCAGATCCAATGAAAAACACATACATTGAGGACTACATACAGGGCTGAGCAAAAGTAGGTATGCAGCTGTGAGTGCATGAAACAGTTTATTCTTGTATTACTATTTATTAATTAATGTACTATTTTCCATATAAACAACTGTAAACCTACTTTTGGCCCACCCTGTATGCATAGATCCTGTGTGTTTGCAAAGCTGTTATTTTTGCTTTAAGTAAATTTTTTACCATTAGATGTTAATGATTTGACAATAATTTTAGTCTAGAATATTGAACTGTTATAAACCTATAGAAAAGTTATGACACTCAAATGCATTATCTAGTTTAGATCTGCTTTGCGCTTCTAATTTGGAGAAATCTGAACAGGAAGTTGTATTAATCAAAGGAAGAACTGCATAAAGTAGCTTTGAAATCACAGTTCAATGCATGCAGAGCTTTGAAATTTTTAAACTGAGAAGCATCAGTTAAGATGGAGTGGTGTCTCTTAGAAGTCGAGTCTCACATGACCTCCTAGATGTTTCCTTTCTTCTTTTTTTAAGTATATTTTATTTTCTATAAATATGATCAAGCAAGGGAGTATTCTACATAACAGTGTACTAAGAATGGGATATTAAATTTAGCTACAAAAATAATTGTCTAGAGTTCAGGATAGGGTAAGAAACATCAGGAATATATAAATTTTTTTAGACACTGTTAGAAATAGCCAGCAAAGGTTTAAATATATTTAATCTCTAAACTGAAAAATTAATAATTTAAATAAGGATAAATGATTTCTACTGATTAGGAACATTTGGCTCTTCTACATCACAATTTTACTTCCCAGATTATTTCTTTCAACTGTGGTATTTTTTACTCTGAATTTTTTTTGTCATTTATTTTGCATTTTAGTTACCATGAGATTAATGTTTTAAATTGGCCAAAACTAAAAATAAAAATTAAGATATCACAGAACACTAAGTCATTATAACAATGGAAGAGAGAATAAACATGAAAGCATTTGATGGTTGAACATAATTGTCAGTCAATGTAAATAAAATATTATCAGCTCATGGAAATAAGAAATATCATCAGTAAGAGCACTTCCTACATGGGCAGTGGTTTCCACTAAGTATACAACACAGAAACCTCTGAAGTATGTTTCTTGATCTAAGGAATGTTTATAGATGTCTCCAGCTCTGTGGTATTTTCAGAAAATCCAACTGCATTGGCATTCATTTTATCCCACTCTGGGGCCAGAAAAATATTTTCCTAAAAGACAGATGCTATCAGAATATGAAATATACCAATACTCATTAATAAACTGGTAGAACATAATTCAGAAATTACCATAACCATTTCATTGTTTTATGACAGGCAATAAAATACTGCTTAGAAACACCATCACTAGGACTTTTGTTTGTTTTTAGGCCATGGCTAGTCAGTCTGTGATACCAGGATTAGTAGCAAAGGTTATATTGAAAACTTTCCTGGCGGAAGTCTCCATAACTATATATAGCTATGTTTATCCTTCCATTAAGTGACCTGGAGTAAGTTATGTAACATCTCTGCACATAAAACCTTCACCTGGGCGTAGGACATCCTTTCACCTCTGTGGCCACGGACAGAGGAGTTTCACATTTTCTTTGTCTTTCTGCTTATTTTTCTTTTAGGACAAGTTCTGGTCTCCATTTCTCATCCCATCATGGGAGGTGACATGGGGAATGACATCACATGGAGTGAGAAGGTCCATGTTCACAGCCCAGCTGGGAAGGGCTCCCCCCCAGAATTTCCTTGTTTGCCAGCCCAGGGCCTTGAATGCACGCTCTGACTCAAGGAGCAGACATGCCTCACCGTGGCCCAGGTGACTTCTGCTGTCTCCTCGTCCTCCGCAAGTGTCCTCATCCACACCACCTACCAGTGAAATACATCTCTTCTGTGTACTGCGGTGTTACCTCTCGCTGTGACCTTAAGATTCTACTTGAACCTGGAGGCAATTCCCTAGAAGGCAGGCCTATTCCTCTTCTAGCTGTCTCCATGCTGAGAAATCCCAGGGTTGCAAATACTTACTTCCCTTGGTGATGGAAGGTAACACAGCTGCTGTTCTCTGCACCCCCAGGAACAAAGATAGTATTTTGATCAGCCCAATCCAACCAATTGGACTCTTGAGAATTTAGACTTTCTGATGGAGCCCCATACATCATTACACCTACATACATCTTTCCTAAGGGAGGAAAAGAAAAAGAAAAAAAGGTTTGCTGAGCATTCTCTCTGGAGAAAAACAAAGATCACCTGTGTTTCACTGTCCTTAGAGGAAATATTTTTGGGAAGGGCAGAAGCAGATAGATTCTCAAAGGATGCAAATAGGTTTGCAAATTAGAGCCTGAGGCAAATACCACAATTGATCACTTGGACATACAATAGTTTTGCTAATTCAAACTTCTCATCCCCAATCCCTAACGTGTAATAAATGGGTTCCTATAGAACCTGGGCTACCATGTCTAAATGGAATAAAAACTCTCAAGAAGACACACATCACCCTGACTGGTGTGGTTCAGTTGGTTGGGCACCATCTCTCAAAATGAAAAGTCTCAGGTTCGATTCCCAGTCAGGGCATATGCTGGTTGTGGGTTCGGTCCCTGGGTCAGGGCACATGCAAGAGGCAACCAAACGATGTTTCTCTCTCACATTGATGTTTCTCTCCCTCTCTTTTTCCCTCCCTTCCCCTCTCTCTAAAAATAAATGAATAAAATCTTTTTTTAAAAAAGAAAACCATAAGGAAGAGAAAATACATGTACAGCATCTATTGAAAAAAATGTAGGTATAAGTGGACCTGCACAGTTCAAACTCATGTTGTTCAACAGCCAACTATACATACATTTTACCAAATTTTTTCACATTTATCACTTCCTTTTCTCTGTATATACTTATTATTAATTTTCTGTGGGCCACATAAAAGTGCAGCCATAATGCCAATTTACCTCCAAACATTTAATTTTTTTCCCCAAAAGCAAAGATGTTCACTGATCTATCCTCAGTATAATCACCAAAATCAGCAGATAGAACATTAACATAGTTCATTATTCTAAATAAAGCATTTTCTGCTGCTCGGAGTCAAGAGGCAAATCCAATGTCATACATAGTATTTTATTTTCTCTTACCTAAAATAGTCACTAAGCCTTTCTTGCCATGACACTAATCTTTTTGAAGAGTACAGGCCACTTCTTTTCTACTATAATGTCCCTCAATGAGGTTTCCCATTGATTGCTCATGTTTTAGTTCAGATTATAAATTTTGGGTAGAAAAACATTTCTTCATGTCTTTCATTAATATACAAATAACGTTAATTTGTCCCAATATTGGTGGATGGATCCCTTGGTTAAGATGGTGCATCCACGTTATCTCCTTTATAAAAGTGTTATCGTTTTTATAAAAGTATTAACCCATGATTTGTAAGTACTTGGTTACTTCTGGCTGAACAAGTTACTCTAGGCTCATCGCATACATTTCCCATTTCAGCTTGGCCTCAGCTACTTCACTAAAAATGTCTGGCTCCTTTTATTGGAGAATAATATTTCCAAAGTGATTTCTGATGTTATTGGATGTTAAATCATTAATATTTTGTCATAATTGTTGATAAATTTTAATACTCTCATTTAATAGAGAGAGTACATAATTTGGAAAAATAAATACATTTTATAAGATAATAGATCCTTAAACTTAGTCCTAACACATTCTTAAAACTTCCTTTGCAAAGACAAATCTGTTTTACTAAATTAACACTAGTATCAAAGAAAAGGATCTCAATATTGTGCAGTATTTTTTTAAGCAAAAGTATATTAATAATCCCAGGATCTTATCTTGTTTCCATTTTTTTTTATTTATATTTAAGTAATTATAGGCTCTTGGAAATTTTGTACTTACAGGTTAAACTTTCAATAGCCTGGTTCATTGTGTGAATAAAAGGGCACCTACCTCATATGAGATTTGACATTGTGTTTTTTTCTTTTTTACAGTTCACATTCAATATTATTTTGTATTAGTTTCAGATGTACACCACAGTGGTTAGACAATCATGTAATTTACAAAGTGTTCCCCCTAATATTTCCAGTGCCCACCTGGCACCGTACATAGTTATTACAATGTTAGGGACCGTATTTCCTAGGCTGTACATTACAGCCCCATGACTATTCTGTAACTACCAGCCCGTGCTTCTGAACAATATGGAACACTTCATGTACTTGCATGTCATCTTTGCATAGGGGCGTGCTGCTCTTCTCTTCATTGTTCCAGTTTCAGTATATGTGCTGCCAAAGCAAGCACAACATCGATTTTTCATGACTATCTTAGAAAAACATGAAATTCAATAAAAAGGTAATGAGATAATACATATGTGAAACACATGGCCAGAGGTGATCATTGTTAATAATTTGTATTTATAATGTTCCATTATTCACTGTACATATATTTTCATATACATAATTGAAATTCTAAGGACAGTATTGTTTATATTTTTTTATTTAGAACCCTATCATGTACATTTTCCATGTCAAAATATTTCAAACAGCTGCATACTATTTCATTTCATGCAAACATTTTAGTTTACATAGTATATTACCTCCTAAGTTGTATGCAATATAATGCTACACTGACTAAATTCTATGTATATATCTGTGTGTATATCTTTTATTATTTTCTTATAGTAAATTCCTAGACATGGACACTTTCAGTCAAATAGTCGAATCCATCACCTGGCTATCTACTTACATCATCATCATCAAGTTTCTATCTATAAAAAGCAAACTAGTGAAAACCGTCGAGACACATCATCATTGGAAGAAATCATTCAGGGAAGTGAGCCTCCAATTTAGCAATCATGACTCAGTAATCTCAAAGTCACATTTCTTATGAAGTGTCCTACTTTAGCTTTTCAGCCTCTATCGTGCTGACCCTCACGTTTTAATAAAATTTAATCAAACCTAGTATCAAATGTACCCCCTTAGGTTCATGCTTATGTCACCTTCCTATTAAATACCAAGGAAGAATAAGATTAATCAGTGGCAAGTGAGGCTTCATGAAGCTTAGGTATAATCTGACCACAATGTATATAGCTTCTTGTTTACTGGGTTAAATCTGTCTCTCTTAGTCTATGTACAAACTTGGGCTCTCTGCCCTCAATCTAATGGAGTTGCTCCCAACTTTATGGAACAATTTGTCTGTGTTTCTTACTACCTGCAGTGGAGGTAGCTATCCCAACATTCACTCTTCAGGATTTCCTTTCTAAATATCTTTTACATAGTAAGACCAAAAGATACAAATTTCCAACTTTATTTCTATTCTATCATCATCTTCTTCATTCCAGTTTGTGGTCCAAAAGGTAGTTCATTTCCTAGATGAATGATAACAGGAATGACTTGGCATTTAAGGCCTACGCAATCCATTACACACAGCGCCTTTCTGCATACAGTCATTAAGGTCAACAATGTTTTAATATCAGCACAAAATGTTGCATAATGGTGATATGACTTTTATCATTCATAGCCAAAACATGTTTTTTACCAACCTAACATATTCCCAGATAATAAGAGATAAATCTTAAAATGATGGATATAGTTTTACTTCATACTTTTTGATTTTCTTTTATGCTTATGGAAGCAATTAATAAGAAAATATTCTAGAAACTATATATATCATTGTAGAAAATATCGTTTAGGTAAATGTAAAAGTAGGAGAATGCTTGTGAGTCATTCAAAAATACCAGTGCGGTTATACACTGAACTTATTTACTGATCTCCCTGTGGAAACCTACAGGGGTCAAAGGGCTCCCCATGTAGTAGGGGATCTCATAGGCCCACAACCAGTTGCCATAAAAAAGGAAGGTTTTGCTCATTCCTCTCTGGACACCACTAAAAATCAACCATGACTTCACTGTGACCCCCACCCCATTCCCAGCCCGAGGTGGGGCCATACTGCAGATGACCCGCCCCCTTGACCAGGTGCTAACAGGCAGGGTCATCAGCAGATAGGACTAGATGAATCATTTTCTCTGGAGTGTGTAGAGATAACAATAGGGAGTCAAATAAAGTCAAAGGTGCCCTTGCTGGTGTGGCTCAGTGGATTGAGTGCCAGCCTGCGCGCCGAAAGGTCACTGGTTTGATTCCCAGTCAGGGCATCTGCCTGGGTTGTAGGCAAGGTCCCCAGTTTGGGGGGGTGTGCAAGAGGCAACTGATTATTTCTCTCACACATCAATGTTTCTGTCACTCTCTTTCTCCTTCTCTTCCCCTCAAAAAGAGAATAAAGTCAAACATAAGCTCTGGCTATGAAGTGATTGAGGTACAAGAGTGGAAAGGCCTAATGACTTGGCGTTTCTGAGCAGACCGGACACTTCCTCAAATCAGAGTCCACATGACCTCAGTGAATAAACCTCCAAGTTCAAGCTGCACCTCATATACGGCCTGAGGCTGCTCCCAAGGCTGCCAGGGGCAGTATTCTGACAAAAGAAAAACATTCGCTATCACTTTGGAAAACGAGAGCTCCTCTTTCTATCCCTGAAACCCTTAGCCCAGAAGCTCATTTATAGCGCAGCATGACAAATGCCGAGCAGACTCAATAATTGATTCATTAAAATCAACAAGATGAGCAGAGAGCAAAGTCACTTGTTTGGGAGTATTGGGAGTTAGCTATGTTTATGGGTTGTCTTTTTTAATTGATTGATTTTACAGAGAAAAAGGGAGAAGCAGGTGGGTGGGGTAGGAGATTGTTGTTCCACTTACTCATGCACTCATTGGCTGTTTCTTGGATGTGCCCTGATCGAGGACCAACCCGCAACCTTGGCATATGGGGACGACATCCTAACCAACGGAGCTACCCACCAGGGCCTGTTTGTTTTGTATTTATATTTTTGACTAAAATTTGTTCAATTTTATGTTTAAAGCATCTTAATATAATAAAAATTAATTATCTGCAAGTACTGCAAGAGATTGCTTTCCCCTCTCTGTGAACTAATCATATTGTTAAATGATTAAAATGCCTTTGCAGTTTACCTTTCCATGGGTTACTTAACTAATTAATTCCTACATCTCTATTCTACTATCTAAAAGTACTAATACTATTTCAACTTTTAGCACTGATTATATTAAATGGTATCCGATGGCAGAAGTTTTGTTTTAGTTTTTGCTTTCGAAGCCTCCGTAACTGAAGATAGGTCTGGCCAGCCCTGATCTGAAGAAGTCATTCTAAAAAGCCAAACTCTCTGGCCTGAGGCTCCGTCGTCTCTCTGGTCGCCAGCGACAGGGCACATTGCTGACTACCCTCTCCACCGCTGGCTTCTGTATCTGTTTGGTTGCCTGGTTTTTCTCCTGTTTCCTTATCCATCGAACACCTTTCAAACACAGAACTCACTCACAATTCATACACTTCATCTCTTGCCACGGCTAAGGTGACCAGCCATCCAGGACTGAAGATCCTGCATCTCAGAAAAAAAACCTGGGCATGAGCAAACCGGGATAACTGGTCACCTGAGCACTGCCAAAATGATTGACTCTATTCAGATTTCACGCATTAGCATTACCTTTCAACCACATCCATGACGTGGACCCCAGTTCCAGTACTTTATGAGCAGACACATACACTTGAACTTCACACACAGGCACACACGCATCTGCTTAAAATCCTCCGGTGGCTTCCCCTTGCCCACACACCATCAGCTGGTCATGCAAAAGCCTTCCTCACGGCCTCACAGGCCTACATTTTCTGGCAGATCTTGAACCTTTATTTTATTCATTTTCTGAATATAGTCATTTAAAGAGCCTGATGGCGTGGTTCTTTTTGAAATCTTAATTATGGAAAATTTCCAACATACAGAAAAGTGGAAAATCAGTGCAATGATCCTCTATGTATGGCAGCCTCAACAACTATCAGCATCTTGCCAGTGGTTTCTGTGAAAGGCTTTGAGGAGAGTTCAAATATAGGGTGGGGCAAAAATAGATTTACAGTTGTTCATGTACAAAATAATACAATAATTAATAAATAAGACTTCAAAAATAAACTCTGTTTTGTGTACTCACAACTGTAAATATCTTTTTGCCCCATCCTATATTTCCAGCGGTGTTAGCCTAAAATATATTGTGGGTGTTAAATTAGGAACTCACAGCCACTTTGTGCCTTTCTCCTAAATGCCACCACCATTCTCAGAGGGTTATTTGATCCTCCTTGAATTGTTACATGTGTGGTTTCTAAACTGTAGTCCTTCCAACTCGGTTTTGCCCATTTCAACAATGTTTAAATAGGTCCTGCGGTATTTAGCAAACGTCTCTCTGAAAATGGTTCTGCTTGTTTTTCCTGGCTTCTCTGTCTCTTGGAGCATTTTTATCGTGCCTTGCAGAATAGATCCTGCAATTGTTTTGTCTTCTCTCCTCATACAGCAGTTGATCAATTTCACATTACTCTTCAACAAGTCTTTATTTTAAGAAGTTCTATAATAGTCATAAACTACCTGTTTCTGTTCTAATCCAAAAAATCATGAAGAAAAGTCTTACGATCTCTCTTATTTTTTCCCCCAAAACTAGGTGTTAATTACTTTCCAAAGGTCTTTTCCAGCTTCTCTAAAGAAAGCTTAAGGCTCGCTCTCTGAACTCGCAGTCCTCCTCACCCAGGGGGTGCGGGGAAGAGCTGCGAGCCACCCACGCACCACCCGCTCTTCCTCTCAGGCAAATAGCAGAGGTTGAACCTACGGGGTACCAGAGCCACGCAACCTAGATTTCAACACAGTATTGGCTCTGCGACTCTTGAGCAAGTTGCTCAGCCCCTCTACGCTTCAATGTCCTCACCTTTAAAGTAGGGGTAATAAATATCTCTGTCCAGTGGGGTTATTGCTGTAATGTGCAAAATTCTTGGAATAGCGCCTACCATAGCGAAAGCACCGTGTTTCCTTTTATTACTTAGAAATGAAGAGCAAAGGGTGTAGTTCGAACATATTACCACTAGATGGCAGCCTCCTCATTTGTATAACATGAACCTTTTCCAGTAGACGTATTTGCTACTCAATAGTCAACACACCATTAATTTGATTATATTAACTGACATTTTTCCCTTTTCACCTCTTGGTTTAAGCTCCATATTTTCCTTTGAAATTCCAGGAACCCCGCTATTGATCCATGTATGTAGCCACCTCTAAAACTCTATGCTGAAGCTATTCTTAATCAAGAGCTGCTGATTTTATTTAGCAATTACAAGAACTAAAACCAAAGCACAGTTGGTTATGGAAGGCCTGAACTTTGCTCTCATTTCTCTCCTCTCACTCAAAAGAGAACAAGATGGTTTAG